TTTTTTTTTTTTTTTTACGTATTTTACCTCAAAATTATATTTTGCTTCAAGAAAAATAAATCTTAGGTCTTAGTCTTAGGGCCTTTATGATTCTTGCATTTTTAAATTGTAATTAACCATATTTCACCCTTAAAATAGGTCATTTTTTAAGCAAAATATTAATTCTTGTATGTTAGACAAGACATACTCACAACATTATTTATTTCACAGTATATTTATTATTTGTATTTAATATTTCATATTTAATATTTCACCCCCAAAATATATTTTGCTTAAATAAAAATATGTAAGATATGTGCATTTTTTAATTGTAACTAACCATGTTTTGGTCTTTTTATATTTTTTATTCAGCAAAATATAAATTCTTGTTTTTTTTTTCTATTTATTTTAGGAATGTAGGAATTTAAAATAAATAAATAAATAAATTATTCCACCAAAAACTGTTGTTATATTTACATTTATCAAATACATTTTTTCAGGACCATTTTTCACCCTCTCTCTGACGCTTACAGTTAATCAGTTAATTTGCTTATTTATTATTTATTTATGTTTCATTTTTATTTACATGAAGTCCTCTAATAATGTTAGCCAAGTTTGATTTTTTTTTATCATTAGTTAATTATTTTTAAATGACATTTTAAAATTGTAATTAACCATGTTTCACCCCTAAAATTTTTTTTTATTTATTTTTTTTTAAATAATGTATTTTAATTCATGTTTTTTTTCCTTTTGATTCTTGGGTTGATTTCTCGGCAGGCTTTGTGAGATTCACTCTTCCGGGCGTGAGAGTTTGTTTATTTGCACTGAAACGGATGATGACTCTTTGATTCATCTTCTTCTTGCTGCTGTTGGTTTGGTTGGATCGTGCCGTGTAAAGACTGTCCTGATGTACATTAGAAACAGACTGGTCTGGAGCAGTTTCAGGGATGCATGCTTACAGTCAGCCGGCCGTTTGTGCTTCTACGCATTTGTAAATGTCAGCAATATAGCTTGTGTTGTAATGTGATGAACTATTATCAATTTGTGAAGAAGTGTTTCAAGTTTATAAGCTTTATTTATTTTCAAACCCATAACAGAAACATTTAAAACAAATATTTGCATATAGTGTTTTATTTGCTGTATTGAGGGACCGTTTCAATTCGTCCCGGTTTCTGTTTAGGAGGTTTTATGAAACTCGTTTAATTCTTTCTTTTGTTAGAACAGTCAGAATTTTCCAGTTAGCATCAATAGGTCACTTTAATGACTGAGTGAATCTCATGAAAACATGTCCCCCCAAAATCAGACAGTATGACAGTTTTCAGGCATTGTACTTTACTGTAATAGTGTTTTATCAGAATAAACTAAAAGGCAGTACAACATCATGATGCATATATTATTCGTTATTATTTGCATTACAGTGCATTACAATGTGTCATTAAAATGTTACAAAAAATCACGATGATCTTAAAATATGCTTTCTTTTTATTTATTTATTAATTTGCAATATGCAACTTCTGTTTTTGGGGAAAATATGACCCGAACATGTCAGATTTTGTTTGTGGAAGTTTGTTTCTGCCATGGAACTAGAAAGATAATTGCATTTTTTTTTTCTCGCAATTTTGAAAACTTTTGCGAAATTCTGAAAACTTCTGAAAGCACTGTGAGATATGAACTCAGAATTGCGATATATAAACAGAATTTTGAAAAAAAAAAAAAGATATAAAATTAGAATCTGACTTTTTTCTTGCAATTCTGAGTTTACATCAATCAATTCTGCATTTGTCTTGCAACTCTGACCTTTTTTCTCTGAATTGTGAGTTTACATTTTGCATTTGTGTTTTATTTATTTATTTTTATTCACTATGTATTAAAAAAAAATCATTGTGAATTTTTATCTTGCAATTCTATTTTTTCCCCTTCAGGATTGCACGTTTTTATCTCAGAATTCTGAGTTCATATCTTGCAGTTCCAAGGTTATATCTCCAAATGTTGAATTTTTATCTCAGAATTGTGAGGGGAAAAGTATGAATTTTGAAATAAAAAGTAGCAATTACTTTTTTTTTCATTGTTTATCCCATGGCGGAAATGGACTTTCATATTTATGAGATTCACCTCAGTTATAAATAAGATTAGTAATGCAGACGAAGGCAAAAAAAAAAAAAGAGAAAAACAAATAAAAAAGGATATGCACTTTGGATGTCCCGAGGTATTATCATCATTATGCAATCTTTCTACATAAGTCAGAAAGCATGTAATATTTCCTTTTTACAACTTTATTTTGTTCCGTTTTGGATGTGTTTAAGGATTTTTATGCCAAGTGGAATTTGATTGTTAATTATTTTCTACTTTACGTCTCTACTTTAGTGATTTCATTCAGCACTTTGATTAGCTGTTATTTCTACTTTTATTTCTAACAATTTTTACTTTTGTAATCTTTTTAATCTACTCCGGTTGGGTTAGTGCTGTATTTAAAGTTACACCTAGTAAGAAATGAAATTAAGTTAGACACTGATTTTCGGTATATTTGCAAGGTTTTGATGTTTATGCTCAATATCTGATCTTTGTCAACTACTACAAAGTGCCAAAATATGTTTCCAGAAAAACCATCATAAACCACAAATGCTGAAACCTTGCATAATATCTGTTTGGTCAGTTCAGCGTTTTATCATTTGCTGGATCATTTCAGTGGCGTCATTGGGAAGCAGCTGCAGAGAGTTGATCATTTGCTCTTAATTTCCCCATAATTACTAGTTTACATGTCAAATGAATCCTGTATATTCACTTCTAGAAGTATTGTATTGAATTTTTACAACACGATTCTGTGCCATCGTTTCCTTTCGACGAACTCTTTTTGCAATGTAAGATTACTTGAATTACTTTTCTGACTCGATCGTTTTGAAGTGAAGTCCTGTGCCTTTGAATGTTGAATCTATGTTAGATGTGGAATGTAAAAAGTGTTGATGAATAGAGCTCATTTTTTGTATAAACCGTGCGCACTTTTAAGATATTTATACTCCTACAGAATTAGATAGATATGACCTGTCAGAATATGTATGCTACTGAATGCCACTTTATTATTTTCGACTTTTATTTGTTTCTGTTGACAGAAAAGATCCCGATTTGACATTTAAAGACATTTGATTTGGTCCACTTCTGTTATTAGTATCACAAATATCAACATCTTTGGAAGACCAATATTGTTGAATGTAAGTTGTGCTCGTGTTGTGCATTGGTTTTAATAAAATTGTTCTTGTGAAATTTGGGCTTTGAACAATATTAATCATTTGCTCCTTTTCCCACAACTTTCACAGTGTGAAATTAAAAGTATATGAGCTTTTAGATGTATTTTACAGTAGATACTGTCATTTGTGGTGCATTAGCCAACCCTCGACAGATTAATACTTAATAAATCAAAAATATTAAACTTGTATGACATTTCTAACTTCTAAATTCAATTATTTAAATGTTCTGTTGAGGTTGACTTCATAAGGTTTCTATTATTTTCCCTTTGAATTATTTTAATATATTCCTCAAACCTATCAAAACATAGGCTATCAGACAGATATTATTGATGAAAATTTGTTATATGACAAAGTAGGTAAGCACAAAAAATAGGTATAATTATCCATTGCTTCTGTTTGAGTTCAGTTTGACCTCAGAAAAAAAAGCACTTATAACACGTATAAAGGCCTACAGCAAAATAAATCAAAATATTAGGCTATACTGTTGAAAAAAACAGCATATGCTGGTTAGGTATGTTTTGACGCTGGGATGCTGGTTTATGCTGGTCCTTTTCTGGTTTAAGCTGGTCCTTTGCTGGTCTATGCTGGTCATGTGCTGGCAAAGGACCAGCATAAAGCAAAAAGACCAGCATAAAACCACAAAAGACCATCTTAAAACCAGCAAAGGACCATCTTAAACCAGCAAAAGGACCAGAATAAACCAGCAAAAGGACCAGCATAACCCAGCAAAGGACCATCTAAAACCAGCATAGGACCAGCATAAACCAGCAAAGGACCAGCTTAACCCAGCAAAGGACAAGCATAAACCAGCAAAGGACCAGCTTAACCCAGCAAAGGACAAGCATAAACCAGCAAAGGACCAGCTTAACCCAGCAAAGGACAAGCATAAACCAGCAAAGGACCAGCTTAACCCAGCAAAGGACAAGCATAAACCAGCAAAGGACCAGCTTAACCCAGCAAAGGACAAGCATAAACCAGCAAAGGACCAGCTTAACCCAGCAAAGGACAAGCATAAACCAGCAAAGGACCAGCTTAACCCAGCAAAGGACAAGCATAAACCAGCAAAGGACCAGCTTAACCCAGCAAAGGACAAGCATAAACCAGCAAAGGACCAGCTTAACCCAGCAAAGGACAAGCATAAACCAGCAAAGGACCAGCTTAACCCAGCAAAGGACAAGCATAAACCAGCAAAGGACCAGCTTAACCCAGCAAAGGACAAGCATAAACCAGCAAAGGACCAGCATAAACCAGCATCCCAGCGTCAAAACATACCTAACCAGCATATGCTGTTTTTTTCAACAGGGAAGATGGATATTTGCTATACTGTGTGCATAGTATCTGAGCATTTATTCATATTTAACATTTACAGTCTCTGATACAGTAAATGTTATGGAGGACGAGTGAAAAATCAACCAGAAATCTTGTTTATACTCATTTCTCATATGATTAGGAAGGTCA